AATCTGTTGGCGATCAAATAGCCTATTCAGTATCGCTACTCATCATAAGTACTTGGTACATTATCAGCGCAGCGGGAGACATTCAAACTAATATCACGTAATTTAAGTCTCTATGATGACTGGTAACTACTAGGTTTCTTTTCTCAACACTCAGCACTGAAAGTGAAAACTCGATGCTGATTGGCTAATTTTACCAACGGAGGCACGAGAGCTCAGTTCTCCTCCGGCCTCCCCCTCCCCTTCTCTATCACTCAGCGGTTGTAAAACATCAGCAGATTCGACACATTCGCGATAGAAAAGCAGCGCTTTCCAACTTCAGTAACATGTTATGGTATTACAGCTGTGAAATTACAAACAAAAAATACACATTCTAAGACATGAACTGAAATTAATTGTGAATTTTATTATCATTTAATCGTCCTCCTCCCATTTTCACCTCAAAATTTTGGGGAAACTGTGCCTCCCCGGACGAGCCGCCACTGATAATATCTGAAGTATAAGCAATAATGTCTCTGCTGAAAACACCACCTTAGACAAGCATGAATTTCCTGGTTAGGACTGGTTTGCTGTTTGTATAATTTGTGGATCACCATAGCCACCATAATGATGCTGGTTGGCCAAGGAAGTCTTGCTAGTTAAATTAGTTTAGAGGTCTGGTGTGGATACCAACATCTAACATAACATAACATGACCAAATTTGCTGGTGTTTTCAGCAGGTGCATGGAAAATAATAGCTGAAGGGTTTTAATTAAATCCTCCTGAGCTCTCATATATTATGCAGTATTTCTTTTATCCTTTTTTTAAAAACGTTTCACATACATTGACCTCCAAAAGTTTTGGAAAAAAAGTGCACTATCTCAGCATTAATTCTTATTGTTTTCCCTAAGCAACTTGCAACCATTGAAGAACAGCAATAATGATTTTTTTTCATAATAATGGCCATGTATACATGTCAGACAGGCTCTGACAGCTGTGGTGCCAGTGATTACTGGATTCCATTGATCTAGGTTTCATTATTGATTCATAATTTTTATGTGACCTTTAGCTTTACTGATTGATTGTCAATTAAGGTTAGTGTCATAAAGCAAGGCCAGACACAACGGGTAAGTGAAAGACAGGATGGTTTATTGATACAAGAGGTGGATGAGTGGAACGGGTTAGGTTAAGGCAGGTGAGTGTCAACAGAGTGAATGATTCCAGGGTTCTTATCTGAGTTCTGAGGGTGAGTGTCTGATGCCGATTTCATGGGAGATCGTGGAACAGCTTCCAAGGAGTCATTGGAGGATTGCGGGAGAACCAGAAGGTAAGTCTTTCTAGGAGAATATCGTATAGAGAGTCCAGAACAGTCCATAGGAGTGAACGGTAGACCGGACAGTGAGTGACTGTGATGTGTGTGTATTTGTAGTGTGGCTTGATTGGTGACAGCAGGTGCGGGTGATCAGAACTCAGGTGACTGTGATTGGGTGATTATCCTGGCTGGTGACTGCAGTGACTGTGATGAATCCCTGACATTAATGTACTTACATTTAAATTAATAATTTGATATACTTATTGTGTACATACATGTTTTTACATTGTACTTATATATATATATATATATATATATATATATATATA